AGTTGGGAGTAATGTAACAGAAAATAATGGACGAGGGGAAACAGAAATAGAAACAAACAAGAAGGGTTTTAATACTGCGTACCAAGGTACCAGGAAATTGTACCAAGGTGCCCAGAAAACACCAAGTCTACCACACACTGAAGGTCCACGCAGGAGTTCGATGGTGGCCTGCCCTGCAGGTCAGTCATTTATAAATATCCCACATGCTGTAGTGATGGCAAGCCACTGCCCCAAATTCCAGCAGCACTGAGGCTGCGTTGATGAGAGAGCAGAGAATTTCTGCAATTCCTGCAAGCGGAAGGAGGCACAGAGGTTCCTTCCCAACAGTTATGAATCCCCATCTTTTTGAAAGGAAGCCTCCTGACTGCGAGCCCAGCGTGGTGACAGCTCACGTGCAGCGGGCAGCAGCGGGTGCACCCGTGTCTGAGGCAACCTCACCTCAGCAGCGCTGAACTGGGCACCGATGGCTGCTCTGCAGCTGACGTGTGTGCGCATTGGCGCGTGCGCCCGCTTGTCTGTGTCCCTCATGAGCCAGAGCCTGGCACTTCCCAGCCCGTAACTTACTCTTGTAATGCCGCCTTGGCCGCATCCCAAAAGGAAGGATGGAGTGACACTCAGACCATAATGGGATTGCCCAGTGGGGGAGAATGACCTGCCTTCCAGCGAGCGGAGTAAGCAGCGCCCACTTGGCGCGTGTGAAGGTGTGTAATGACACAGATCCCGCAGCCCCGCCGCTCTGCCTCTCTGTACAACATCACCAACTGGCTGGGATGAAATAAGCCTTTTCCTGAGGGACAGAATGCTCCAGACAACCAAGGGATGCACTTGGAAATCCTTTACCGGTATGTACCTCTTGTTTAGTTTGCTTTGTTCCCCGCAGTACGCCTTTGGGAGTTAAGAGACATCAGTGACTTAAAGCTACAAATCTGCTTAGAGGAAGGGAAGGAGGTTAGTGGAGAGAGGAGGGCTTCTGAATGAAGAATTTAAATTGCAGATCGTTATATGAAATCCACCTCCCTTCAGAAATCTCAGACAAAAAACTAATTTAACATAAAATGATGCTGGGCACCTCGTACTCGGCGATGCAGGAATGACAAGGCCACTTTGATTTAGCTGGAGAGGAAATGTGAGAGGTAGTGCCATGTGCAAATTAAACCCTTTGATCCTGACATCAATCTCTTAATTAGGAAGCTGTCAGGAAGGGGCAGTTTTGTTAACACATGTCTATCTGGACAGACCCATTGCTCTGAACAACAGCAGGATTAAATTCACTAGGGATTATCCCATTTTCATTTGTTGCATTCTCAGTGCATTATTCATCAGCCTAGACCGTACTACAAATTACCGCTCATTACAACTGCAAACGTGGCTGTGCCCTGCACAGCCCCTCACCAAACTCTGTCTGCAGCAGTGAACAGCTCCTCTCTCCTGGCAGGCTCCTGTCTTTCTCCAACCGAACAGCTCAGTGACTTCCTAAACCTGAGCTCCCTCTGTTCACTCGCAGGCCCTGCTCTGAAGGAGCCTTTTTCTCATCGGGTACATGTGCTTTACAAAGCATCCAGGCTGCTTCCACTTGATACACCAAGTCTTTACACCTTCAGCTTGTTTTGGCTCTGGGTATGTCTAGACTTAACCGTGGAAACCCATCTGCCTTCCGAGATGTATTTCAGCCATGCTATGAGTCGTGCTTTTCTTTCAGACTGGAGATCCCCGTGTTTCCATCTCCTAGAGTTTATATACTGTACTAGGGCAGAAATACTGTACTTCTCTCTGAAATTGCACCTTCCCTGCATCTCAGTCACAAGTGTTAAAAATGGGTGTGTTTTTAGAATGAGATTCTCTGCCTTAAAACACACTCCATTGGGGATTTCAGCTTACTTTGCTGAAGAAATACGCGTGACACTTTTTTTCCCTGCAGTCTAATTCACAGAAAGCTTTGGTTTTAGATCTCTGCCTTGGTAGTATAAAGGTATGTACTTCGAGTTATTTGCCAATATTTGACATTCCTCTAATAAAACCAGTACTTGAAATATTGTTCATCGTGTACTTTGAGGCAAAATCCTTAAGTAAGAATGGTTTGCACAGTTAGAAATGTAAAGGCAGCTCTCCTCTCTGCCTTGTGGTTTCCTGCCTCCCTGTAAAAGCTCACCTCCCAAAGGGCCTTTGCTCAATTTCTGCATGTGTATCTTCATTTCTGCTATAAAAGTGAAACAGAAACCTCAGGTAAGGAGGTTTAATATTAAACCACAAATATGTAACATGGATCAAGACACATTACTCCCAACTATTAATTGCCGTGCTTGCTTACCTCTGATTTGGATATGGCACTGCAGCAGGAGCCCCAAGGATCTGTCTCAGACACGGAGGCTTTTTGGTGTGCAGCTACATTGAACCTAGGAAACAAGAAAATAGGAATTAATGGTTAGGGCGACTAGCACATGCTCACAATTGCACATTTTGGTGTTTAATCCAGGGCATACAGAATAGTGCACAGTGAGGCAAGCCACCCAGTGTGTACAGTGCCCTGGAGGAAGCTCCTCCAGTTGGGTTAAGGTAGGTGGAAAAAACCTCATCCCCACTGTTTGGGCTCACCATTAGGGTTGAGATGTGCCTGGGTACTTGCTCTGGCTGGAGAAACCCTGTATTTGCCTTGCTAAAGGTTTACTACACCTCTGCTTCTTTCCCAGACATCACATCTAGTGCTGGAATTTAACAGGATAGGCAAGGAGGACACAAGATCACTGAGAGTAATCCATGTGGGGCAACAAGAAAGAGGGAAGCCCTTGGCCATCTTGTACCAATTTGGAAAGAGAGCAGTGGGCAGGTAGGGAGTTAACACGCACCTAGATGCTGGGACACAGGGACAGAGTGTTTGTTGGGAGATCAATCAGTGATATCAAAACCAAGACGTTTTAAACAAATGGGCTAGAAATCCCAGTTCCTTTATATGCACGTGTGACTCCTAATTTCAGTTCAGTGCCATGACTTCATTTTACCTTTAGCTCTGGGTTCTGTGAAACACAGTCCCCACAAGACACAGACCAATGTGCATTTTCTGACCTTGCAGAAAGAGCCGTGTAAAACCAAGAGGACAGATGAGGGCCTGATCTTCCTCTTATCTAACGGGGTGACTCCAGGAGACCCCCAGGGAAGTCAGTGGTGGTGGAGCAGCAGCAGAGCAGCTGCTAACGGGTTTTCTTCTGGGAATGCTTTCCAGAAATCTGAAAGGATTCAGGCAGAGTGGAGATATTGAAGTTTAAGGTTCACCCAGGCAAGAATTGGCCTTCCTGCTTACTGGAACACTTGACTTGGAAATGACATATATGCTGAACCGGGAGCAAAGTCCTGTAATAAATAACCATGCTCCAGTCATTTCCTCCTTTGCGCAGCGGGGAACTGGCACTTGGTGAGAGATTCCTTAATGGCACCAGTACCAGTTTCACCTTTCTTTTCCTTCTTACTCCAATGCTGATGAAAAAGAAGGAGCAAAGCTGCAGACACCAAACAGCGAAGATTTCTTCTGGAGAGGTAATTTCTCATCCTGTGGGGTGCAGTTTTGTTTACGGTGCTGCAAAGAAAAGCAAGAGAGAACGCCAGGCGTTGTCAGAAAGCAGCCATGTAAGCGGATGGGGGGTTGGCCCTTAGGACTGAACTGGAAATAAGCATTTTCAGTGTTGGAATTGCATATTCCAGGATTATGCAGGGCTTCCTACCCACACGTCCATTCTTGGCTACTATAACAGACTGGATCCGGAGGGAGCTGTACCTTTGATGTGCCACAGTATGGCTGTGCTTCATCTTTGTTCTGGGCACACGTTTCTGCTCCGTTGCAGTGTTCTGGTTTCTGGAGCAGGTGAAAAACCATCTGTAGGTTGTGAGTCACTGTCGCTGATCATGGCCCACCTTTGGCCTGTGTTTGCTAGGTACCACGCTTCTGTACCACCTCGCATTGCTCATGGTAACACGTCAGCGCTTTCTTGAAATCAATATGCAGCTCCAGTTCCTGAATAAAAACATGAGGGCTTTGCCATAAGAATTTGAAAGACACAAGGCCCTTCTTGTGAAAGTGCAAGAAAACCACAGGAAAAAACCCCAAGCAGCCCGAAGGAACCCATTCATGTTGCATTGCTAAATTGTTGTAGATATTGTGCCACTAAATTGAGAACTTAGTTTCAGATGAGCTCTGGAGGTTGCCCTGGTCTCCCAGGGAAAATAAATCCTTAATACAGTCAGCAGGTGCTGTACTGGGGACACAGCACTTGCAGTTTCTCCATGTGCCAGCTTTTATTATTAAGTGTGATATTCCACTTCTTGTTATTGGGTCACTTATGTGAAAATCTAATTTAAAACTTCTGCTTTAAAATGTGTTAGCATTGGACTTCCACATCAGCAGTCTTTCAGCTCTTGAAGTTTCTATTTTCTTTCACTTTGAGATCACCATAGATTTCGTAATTTTGATAATTAGTTATTTTCAGCACATGTTATGATGGCTTTAAGGTGGTAAATCATTCTGGGCTTGCTTAGATACCCTCCTCAATTCATGCTGTATATGCCTTTATAGAACTGCTGGGTCAAGGGACCAGAAAAGGTCACTCCACTGTGCATTGGATTACATTGCGTTGTGGGGTCTTCTTATTTTTGAGCCAAACTTGAAGTTAAGCCAATAAACGTACCCAGCATTTGATGAAGGGAACTGTTTGGTATGAAAATGTACACAGGGTTGAGAGCATCTCAAGGTTATGCGGTAGAAGTCAGAGCAGACCATCAGCCCAGCGCTTCACGTAGATGGTTTCATTGTTTCTACACTGAGTATAGCTTATTATGATCTCTTCTGCTTTAACGAAATCTGTAGCCATCATTATTTTAAGGCATGTCACTGCTATTTTTACAAGGAAACATCTCCACCCCACTGTCAGTTCTGATCAAAGCCTGAGCCCTTTTCTAGCCTGACGTTATGTTCTTCTTGGCACTGCAGGTTACATACAGTGATCTGAAACATAATGGTGGTTTTCAGAAAGGTAAGTCCCATTCTTTGCTGTCATTTACTGACTAGCCTGAACCCAAAGCAGAAAAAATACCTTAGCATCATGGTCCACCTCAGAAAGAAAGTAGCCATGACCCAGTATCAAGCGTTATAAAATGATACCAAGATGTGAAATAACATCAGCCTAGACTAGGGATGCAGAGGTGTTTTGCGTAGCCCGGCTGTGCTCATGCTGCGCTGGTGACCTCTGTCACAAGGTGTGGCACTGAAACTACACAGATTGCCTCTGGGGTTCTGCTCAACGGAAATGAGAGCTGTTGGTCTGTGTAATTCTTCACAGCCTTCTGCGATGTTTGCAGACGCTTTACACTACTGTTATTTGCTTTTAAGCACAAGCCCATAAAGTACTTTGAGAGGAAAAATAAACAATTTTTCAGTAAAACACAAATCTTTGACAGCAAATGCTGCAGCAGGTAACAACAGCTGAATAAAACAAGACACTCAGTTAGAAAGTCGGTTCCTCAGCAGGTGTAAGTATGAACTACCCATGGAAAAACTACAGCCTTGGTCAATTTTCATTCCAGCCATTACAGTAAAGCTTTCTGTTTGAATCTGTATTAGTGCCTGGACCAAGAGCAGGTATTCCTAGGGGGCTGGAGCTGGGGAGCATAACCAGGACATTAGAGCAGTTGACACCAAGACGGTGCTCACTCCTAGGAAAGGGCAGCTGTAGCTCACACCTTTCCTCCAGTGAGAGCAGAGCAGTTCTGCTGCTTCTTGCTCTGCAGAGATGGAGGATGTTGCTACACCTCTGCAAAAGGGAAGCGAGCAGCTGGGCTGAATAAAGAATGGGTTTGGGTTTGGGTTTTTTTTCTGAAGAGAGATCAGGGATGCACTCACATTTCTGAGTGATTCCAGCTATAGCAAAAAGAACACATATCTAAAAACTCTTGCAACAGAGCCCTCTGCATTTCCAGGCATCTACTTTGTACATCTGTTTGTCTGGTGTTCCTTTTCCTGGTGAAGTTTATGTTTTCAAGCTTCACTTCTGACAGAATATCATAGCTACTGTGGGGCTGCCAAGGCCCTTTACCAGCATTCACTGTGCAGTAATTGCTGTCCTTGTAAGAAGTGTTGCCTCGTTTCCTCTTGGGAGACAGCTGGGCTTGATGAGCTGTCCACACTCATGTTCCAGGTCAGCTGTGGAGCTGGGAGGGGAATGCAGAGGTCCTGATACTATAACCATTAGACTGTACTGCCTGCGAGCAGTAAGAACTTACCCAGTTAAATACTGCTGAAGAAATCAAGTCACTAAAAGATTAAGGCCAAGAGATGCCTGCCTACATGGCATAAAACATGTCACTGTACTTGACAACAGCTTTTCTTCTCCCCAGGGTGATCATGTGTGGCTGGAAACTCAACCAAACAGTGAATTTAATGTGCCTATCGGGGCAGTTGTGAAGGAATCTGACTCAGGACGGATCTTACTGGAGGATGATGAAGGCAAGGTGGGCTATGCTATAACTTTCTGTAAAAGATTAATATAAAATTGAAAAGTAAAAATACAAAAGAATGGCTCTGTTGGCCAGACCAAAGCTCCATCTAGCCAAGTGGTCTGACTTTGATGATGGCTGGTAGGTTACACTGAAAGAATTAATATAAAAATAAGGCAAGTATAGGGTGATACCCTAGGGTCCCCAGGTCTCAACAGTGTGAAGATACAGAAATCCCTAAGCTAGAGGTTATATCTATGTAGTTAAGAAAAGGAAATGGACAGGCTCCAGTCTCTAAATTTAGTAGAGCTTTAGGTGAAATCATGATCCCACTGAAACCAGTTGGGCTGGGGTTTCATCCCTGCCTCACACATGATGTAGCTGTAATGACCTGGCAGAACTGTGCTTTGAACGATGCTAAACTTGGTGATGTCCAGGACCCACCTGAATGGTTTCATCCAGCATTTCAAATCACCTTGTCCTGGGGAGCAACAAACCAGGTAATTTCTGTAGTTCAATCAAGTGTTTGTTAGAATATGCTTGTTTGAGCATCTCTTACACTGAAGCTTGTTCAGTTATATATGCTCGTTTGAGCATCTCTTACACTGAAGCTTGGTCTAACATGGCTCACCTTTGTTTGCCTCCGAGCAACAGCACAGCACATTAAAACCGCTGCCTTGCCTTTTCCAGGAGCACTGGATCACGTCCCGGAACATGCACCTGGTGCGCCTGATGCACCCCTCCTCTGCCCAAGGGGTGGAAGACATGATCTGCCTCGGGGATCTCCATGAAGCAGGCATGGTGCACAACCTCCTCATCCGCCACCAGCAGCACAAAATCTACGTGAGTGCCAAGGTCACCAGGCGTAGTACATTCAGGAAGGACCTGTGCCACGTGTTTAGCAGAGTGACCTGAACAGCCTGCAAGCCTTCCATACGTGGGGCCCTCTGCTTCCTTTACCAAGGAGATACAGCATAGGTTTTCTCTTCTTTCATTGGAGTACTTTGGCTGTGAAGAAGGGAGTTAACAGCAGTCTTGGAAATCACAGAGATATGCATGGGTAGTGACCCTGCTTATTTCCTCCCAGAGTGATTGTTCACACCAACGGCTGACAGGTGGCTAAACCCAGTCCATGTTACAGCTCAGTGCTGCTGTTCCCTGCAGCTGTGACACAGGACCTAGTACACAGTGATGTGATTTGGATGGTCCTCCAGTCCAATCCAACGGTTACTTGATTTTGATGTAGTAAAATAGAGAATAAATCAGTATATTTAGGACACCTGATTTCATTTCTTGTCCATTACAGGTTTCATCTGTGACTTGGAGCAACTTGACATTTTTAGTTTCATTGTTCCTTAGTTCCCAGCTTGTAATATGATAATATTCCAATTTTTTCATGCTTTTTCTCCCATGTTGTAGACATCAATACCTTCATGTGAAAGGAACTGTGTCTCACAACACAGCTGTGGTGATGTTTAGCATAAACAAGCGCTGATTTTATAGATGCTGCCATTATAACTGCCAAGATGTGTGTATAGACCTGTTATATTAAACTCCAGGAGTTTGCAGTTGTCTTATGTACAGGTTCATGAATAATATTATTGCCTTGCATTTCCACAGCCTTCAACAGCCTCCTTCATTTCAATGGTGCTGTTGTTTATGAATGTTAATAAATGGCTGCATGAATAACACAACCCTAACTTTGCCTATTAGCAAAGTTCAGCTTCATCTGTACTTGGAAAACAAAAGCAGCTCGACAAAACGCTACAAAACAGCTTATGATAACGCACAGAAATGCCATGTCAAATTGTACTTCCTTTGTGCTTTAGCTTGAGACTGAACCGAGCTGTGATTTGGCGAGGAGATTATAGCTGTAGTTCTCCCTTTCCCAAAAACCTCCATATCCTGGGATATTCAACAGCAGCTCACAGTGAGGAACCAGGCTCTCAGCCCCACTTAAGCTATGGATCTCCCAGGCTTCCCCCCTGCCTCTGTTCAGATTCATATTGCAAGTGGCTTTGATTGCATTCACGTTTGCAGGTTTGCTGCTAGAGGTAACACTCGTAACTGTTTTCCAGACTTACACAGGATCAATCTTGGTAGCAGTGAACCCATACCAGCTGCTGCCCCTGTACACAGTTGATCAGATCAGACTGTACTGTAACAAGAGGATTGGAGAGCTGCCACCTCACGTCTTCGCCATTGCGGACAACTGCTATTTCAATATGAAGAGGAATAAGAGAGACCAGTGCTGTGTCATCAGGTGAGACTGGACTCAGAGAGGACAAGTAGCAGAAATCAGGTCTGGAATGGCTTTGGGGTACCTTAGTGGACATAGGAGGCCTTCCAAACAGAAGGGCACAGACAGAACTAGAGACAAGAAGGAAATATTTCCATTTCCAGCTAGGGCTGCCAAAGGGAGAACAGAAGCAAAAGATTTCTGAAGTCCACTGTTTTCCCCCAGAATCTTTGAATGTTTGAATCAGCACATGGTCACTACATGTAGAAACATAACACACGAGCCTGTGTGATGCAAGGCTATCTTTTACCTTGGGGACATGACTTATGTTACGTGTATTTCCTGAGGACAGAGATTTCCTGGAGAGAAACCACCTCTGCTAACCTGAAGATGGAGGGAAGCTTTCTTCATTCCATAAACACATAACATGTATCCACTTCCTCTTGATCATCAGACAGTTTCATTGCAATAATATCTGATTATAGCTGAGGAAACTCAGCTGATGTGCTAAGACTAGCATGGAAAGTCTGGTAATGCATTAAAGAAGAAAAGCAAGTGGTCATTTAATTTGCACTGATACAGAATGTCTTCCATGGTTCTGCTTGTTTTTATCAGTGGGAGAATTTAATGCTCAGGCTAAGCCTAAAAAAACCACATACATTTTAGCAGATAAGATGATGTGAGACTAAAACTCTCCAGTCCTCCATGAAAGGCAGTCTGATCTGCCATTCACAGAGTAAATACACATGGGATTTGTTTCATGTTTAACTTGTTCTGCCATTTTGCTCCCTAGCCAAAAAAGGAGAAAGGAAATCTGTAATGATCTTGTTTCTCACTGCAGTGGAGAATCTGGAGCTGGGAAGACTGAAAGCACAAAGCTAATACTGCAGTTTTTGGCAGCTGTCAGTGGCCAGCATTCCTGGATAGAGCAGCAAATCCTAGAGGCCAACCCCATTCTGGAAGGTGGGTTATTAAGGAAAGGTGCCTGATTTACCACCTTTATCTCAGGATTTTTGTATCAGGATAAAAAGTTCAGAAACAGATCTCAGAACCATTGCATTTGCATAACTTCTAAGCCCTGCAAAACACTGGTGATGCAGGGTAGAAGTTCCCTTTACTTTTCTGCCACGTCCCCATGAAGTCCACAGCAGCTCCATAGCACTATAATACGTAACCTGCCGTGAGCACAAGAGTCCTGGGAATGCAGAGCCCAAGGTCAAGACCCCTGGTTTAGCATTTTCATTAGATAGTGGCAAAGTGACTGGGCAAGCATGGATGTATCCATAGGGAAGCTCCCTGAGACACTCCTCTTACTCTGTAGGGGGATCAAGTGTGTTCTGCAGTAATCCAGATACTGTCTCTCTCTGTCCCCTGGCCATCAGCTTTTGGAAATGCCAAGACAATTAGAAATGACAACTCAAGCCGCTTTGGGAAATACATTGACATCCACTTCAACCAGAATGGTGTGATAGAAGGAGCCCGGATAGAGCAGTTTCTTCTGGAGAAGTCCCGGGTTTGCCGGCAGGTGAGGGCATGGGCAGTCGTCCATTCTGCCTGCTCCTCTGTTGACAAGGCTGCCCATTGGCTTATTTCTTTCTCTTAGGCTCCAGAGGAGAGGAACTATCACATCTTCTACTGCATGCTGATGGGAATGAATACAGAGCAGAAAAAGATGCTGAATCTGGGCACTGCTTCGGAGTACACTTATCTCACTATGGTAACAGCCTCTGCTTTCGTCCCCATTATCCCACTGCCGTTCGCTTCTCCCAGCAAGCGATTCCAATCAGCAGGAGCTGCAGAAGGGTAGTTACCAAATCGAAATGGTCCTCTCCTTAAAGCACCAAAAGTGCTGTAAGCCTCAGTTTCAGTAATTCACTGTAATGTCCACCGGTGGGAGGCAGCCTGTGGCAGTTCAAAGCTTTCTATCAAAGTCAGATTTAGGAAACATAAAAGACACCTTAAAGCAGGTGAGAAATATCTCCCACTTTCACAGGTACTCGGGTTTCAGATCTCATGCCAGGGAGAATACTGGAAAACGAATAAGCAGAAACAGTGCCAAGAATCCTAGACCTTATATCTGATAAATCCTATATGCATAATGCAGGAAGCTGGCGCTCAATCTAACCCCCAACAGTGAATGTTAATGTCCGTGTCTGGGTTTATGTTGCCACAGTGGCAGGAGTGGGATGTTCGTAGGTGAGATTTTTGAGCAAAGCTAATTGCTTGGTTTGGGGCGTGAAAAATATTGTGAAAATCCTGTTCTTTAGCCTGTGTAGATACCTCACATTAGATATGTCAGCAGGTTTGAGTTGGTATGTTCTTCAGCTGTGGAAAAAGGGGGCTAAGTCCTGCCTCTGCTGAAGCTAATGGGAGCTGGGCATCTAGTTTCAGAGGAAATTAAATCAAGCCTATAAAGTTGTTTCTGGAGTCTCAAAAGCAAAACCATTCAAGTTGCTGGAGATCTTTTCAAATAGCAGTGATCTCGCAGCAAGAGCTGATGAGTGCAATTCAGGCATCGGCCATTCCATAAAAAGGTCTGAAGTTCCTTGGGTCAGCAGCAGGGGAGCATAATACAGAGCTAGGAGGATTAGATTAAGGTGAACACATCCATGGTTTTGTTCAGGTCAGCTGTTGGCACAAGCTGGTACGTTTACATGCTGTAAATGGAAATGTCTGGAAATACTTCACTTTTGTTATCATCACACTATTTTGTTGGTAATAGCAAGGATAAAAAGCAGCATTTTTCCATCTCCAATATTGCTGAAAATCGTTTCTATTAGGAGCAGCACACTAGGTTCTGCTGGGCAGGCTTTGTTGCAGGTTCTTCTGCTGCTGCCTTGGATCTGCATTCCATTAGATCAGAATATTCTTATTTTGAGATTGGCCTTCTAGTACTGATCAACCCTACTTGACTTGATTTGGGATTAACTGTCCATTGACAAGGCAGAGGGAGCAGACCAAGGTAACAGGCATGGCCTTGTAAGTGTAAGCAGCTGTGTCAAAGTTTCCTGTCCTGTGCTCCAGAGCAGCCTTCCCCTTGGCTTTTCCTTTTGGCTTCCCCAGTACTCAGTCTAGCCTTGGAGAAACGCATTATTTAGCCCTCTGCTAATGTGTTCTTCCTGAGAGTAGAGACGAGGGACGAAACAGCCATGAGAAGAGCATATAGAATGTCTAAATAGATTTTTACTTTACATCTTGTGGCAAGGAGCCCTGTGAGTCCTTTCTTTGTGTGGGTACTGGGAGGATTTTCCTTACCGGGGGTGTGGTGTCTTGCAGGGCAACTGCATGTCGTGCGACGGACGGAACGATGCGAAGGATTATGCCCACATCCGCTCGGCAATGAAGATCCTCATGTTCTCAGATTCTGAGCACTGGGATATCAGCAAGCTGCTGGCTGCCATCCTGCACCTGGGAAATGTAGAGTTCGAAGGTAAATTCAGCGTTGTCTGTGCTTGGCCTTTCCCTAGACCCCATAGCAAAGGCCTGGAGGTGCTGCCTGTTTCTGTTTATACAGATTAGGCTGTGCTGCTCTGCCCCTGTATAAAGGGGTGAGCAGGGTTGGTAGGGCAGGCAGATAAGCACCATTTGTGACTGCACTGCCTAGTGTTTTAAAAAACATAATCTTATTATTATTTTGTCACACCATCAGGTTGCCATGGTTATAAATAGGGCCTTATCACACAAACTGAAACAACAGCTATTATAATGCATACAGTACACACGCACAAAATTACATTTGCTGGTGGTTGTGCTACGCAAGCCAGAGGACAGCAATCAAGTGATATTTGCTGTGGAGATGCCAGCAGTCATTTTCCTGGTGGGGTCTGGTGAAGTGCACTTCTGGTGCAGTCCAGGCACAGTCTGAGACACCCCCAGCAGGATGCCACAAGCTCCCACATTATAGAAAGGGACTCCTCCTCACTTTGAGACACAGAGAGCCTAATACAGTGACGCCAGCTGGATTCTTTGGAGTAATGCTGCCTGCTAAAATGAGGGATTCCTCTCATTCCCTTTCGTTGTCTCAATTTCCCACAAGCCAGACACGTGGAAAAAAATCTTTTCAGAAACACATTTTCTGAAGTCAGATACCACGTCCCCAGATCCCCAGTAGCTACTATTGCAAATTAATAACCTTGTCCGTTTTGCTGCTACTTTTGATGTTCTGTCGTTGTGACAGCCCCCTACATCCCAGGGCCCCTGGGTGAAATCAGGACCCTCCTTAGTAAAATGATCAAACCCAGGAGCTTCAAAAGGGAACTCGCTGCCTTGCCACATTCCCAGAGCTACAGGGTTGCAGAAACACGGCTGCAGTAACAGCACAGCCCTGCACCATAGGAGAAATTACTCACCCTGAGATTGACTGTCTCCTCATTGTAGCGGCTGTGTACGACAACCTGGACTGCTCTGATGTGATGGACTCACCACACTTTTCAATTGCAACCAAATTGCTTGAGGTAACGGACTCTCGTCTCCTCCCAGTTCTCTCCTTCACCCTTGCTCCCTGAGCACCCTGACAAAGCGTGTTTCTGTGAAGTGTTTCTGTATGGGTGCACGTACAACAGGCATGTCCCTGCTGGTGCTGCAGTGATGCTGTTGCAGATGTCTCTGTGTCTAGGAGATGTTTAACTGGGGCAGCCCAGTGAATGCTGCTGGCCAGGCAGTTTGTCACGGCCCTCTTCCCAATGCAGACTTGGCTGGATCTCCTTTATCCACCTGGAATGACCAGGTTGCCATGACTGTTCCTCCAGGTGGACTCCAGTGAACTCCAGAACAGCCTCACAAACCTCTCCATCATTGTCCGAGGAGAAAGCGTGTCCAGGCCTCTGAACATAGTGCAAGCTGCAGACGGGAGAGATGCCTTTGTGAAGGTACTGGTGCTTTTGTCTCTGTTTAAAGACTGGGGATGCTTTCAGAGCTGTCTATCCTACAAGTTGAGGAGCATTACATGGCAAACATTCACCCAGAGGGCTCTGGTCCCCCATAGTTTTTAGGCATAGTTTGACAGCAAGCAGTAAGCGATGTCCAAAGACTGTAATGATGGCCTCTAATTCCTCTATAATTTTTTTCTCAGGGTATATATGGACGGATTTTCCTGTGGATAGTGAACAAGATCAACTCAGCCATTTTCAACCCAGCTTCTCAGAAGCCGACAGACAGACGTCAGTCCATTGGGCTGTTGGACATTTTTGGATTTGAAAATTTCAGCAACAACAGGTAGGAGGCTCCAGATACGAATGCCACTGGGAAGCTGTGAGTACTCCACAGGCACACACTGTGTGACACAGCAACTACCAGATAATGAGACTCAGGTGCAGCAGTAGGGAGTAACTAACAAAAGAAGTAGTAGCACCAGTGCAAGTGAAAACACATCACACACTCATACAGTCAAGCTATTTTCACAGTTATATGTTCCTCTTTATCTCTAGAGTTTCTTGAAACACCTACAAGATTGATCCTTGCATCCTCAGCAACACTCAATCATCAGTTAGCTCATTTCTGCTTATCTTTATCATAGCTGAAGATACATGCCTTCTATTGCTAAGATTGGCAAGGTGCAGCAGTGGTGATCATTAACACTGTGGAATAAAGCAGTAGAATATCTGGATATGTATTGAGCAAAGAGAATAAATACCATAGAGCGGTGCAGCACTGACCATGGGTTCCCATCTTGTCCCCTCCCAGCTTTGAGCAGCTCTGCATTAACATTGCCAACGAGCACCTTCAGCAGTTCTTCATGCACCACGTCTTCAAGCTGGAGCAAGAGGAATACTTTGCAGAGAACATTACCTGGAATAACATTGACTTCACCGATAACCGCCAGGCTCTGGAAGTCATCGCGCTCAAGCCTATGAATATCATCTCCCTCATTGATGAAGAGAGCAAGTTCCCAAAGGTAGATTTCTGATTTCACCTCCAGTGCCTGGTTTTGCACACAGCTAACGGGTAGCGCTTGGTTTTACACACAGGACAGTGCAAAGGTGGCTTTCGGATATGTTATGAGAGGGCTTCTTAGGAAATTTTTGAATTGGCATATTGTTTGTTGTGCTGCTTGTCTGGGCTGCAGCTTGTTCTTTCTTCTCATGGATGACAGACCTGGTTGAGCAATGTCACTGTTGTGAGGAGATGTTATTCTGCAAAGGCCAGGCATCTCAAACAGAAGAGCAGAGATTAAAGTGGCATCTGACCTCAGACATCCCGTTTTCATAGTCTCTAGGGCACAGGGAGGCTAAGCAGGAGTGCTGGTACAGGAATGGGATGGCAATGTGGGCTTGTCCAGAAAAGCAAGCCCCTGCCTCAGCTCACCTGTAGTCCTCAGGCAACAATTTGAGAGGCTCATGTGCAGGCAGACAGCTTTCCCAGTTCTTCTTTAAGAAGAGGGTGGTCCCCACTGTATGTCCCTCAGTCAGGACAAGAAAGCATCTCCTCTGATGCCCGGAGGACATGATTTCTCAGGTAATACAGCACTCACTACCCCTAGCACAGGCCAATAAGCAGAGCTAGCCTCACATGCGCCACAGGAGGATGAGATCGTGTTGGCCCTCGTTGAAGAGAAGCGCTCAGCTGCTGGGCTGTCTGTGAAGGGCATGATCTGGGCATGCTGACTGGTATCTGCTCAGGGCAGCCTTCTGCCAGGGAGCCCCGAGTCTTTCACCAGCTGGGGAGTGAAAGAACTGTGCCTGCCCGGGAGAAGGTGCATGCACACCGCAGAGAACGGCTGGGTAGGAGGGCATGGGAAGGTGGGTGAGGGGTCTGCTTGTGAGGTACAAAGATTTGGGAAATTCTCAGCACACCTGGTGACGTTAGTAATGCTATGAGGGCTTGTGTACAACTCTAAAATAGAAGGCCTTATGCTCTGGTGGTGTGTTTTGTCCTCATGCTCAAGAGAAGGGTCTGTGTAAAAGAGAAGGCACTTCTGGCACTACATTCCTCCAAATCTACTACACAAATAAGGCAGAATTTGAGCTTTTGTTATCTCTGAGCACCACTCCTTTTTGTTCACTAAGCATAGGCTGGGGGGAATCTGCTTAACTGTCCTGTTTTGCCTGTATTTGTTCCTAGGGAACTGATGCCACCATGCTTGTCAAAATCAATTCCCTCCACGGCAAAAGTAAAGTCTACATCCCACCTAGGAGTGTCCATGACACCAAGTTTGGCATCAACCACTTTGCTGGGGTTGTCTTTTATGAATCCAAAGGTGAGGCTATCACTGCTGGATGAGGAGGGTGAAGAGAAGGGCATGACTTGCCCTGGATGTGCAGCACTCCGGGGTAGTGTTGATCTGAAGTCAGATCAGGAGGTCAGGAGGATTACTCTAAACTAATCTGCAAGTTACTGTAAATGAAGTGGATTTTAGCTAGACAGAGTGATGCTAGAGCCAGCAGGCTGAGAGGTGACAAGCTGATTTTGTTTCCATCATGCAGATTTCCTGGAGAAAAATCGGGACACACTGAGTGCTAATGTAATGCAAGTGGTTCATTCCTCCAAAAACAAATTCCTGAGAGAGATTTTCCAGGTGGAAACAACCCTACCTAGTCTGGGACGTGGGACCATCCGGCATCTTGGAGCTGACCAGGCCTACAAGGTTGGCTTACTGGCTCTGGGTTGCGGAAACAACCGATTTCTCCTCCCTTCCATAAGGCCCTGGCTGTCCTTTTTCTTTTGCACTGTCTCTGCAAATCCCAATCTCTTTCCTTCAACTCATTTCTGCAAAGGAGTCTGCAGAAAAAGTTAGGGTCTGGTGTTGGTGCTGTAAACAAGTGTAACACCAGCCCTGTCTCCCAGGACTGCATCCCTGGACATCTGTGTAGCCTTGCTGCAGGCTGTCACAGAAGCCTGAGCTGTGCTACCTCCTTACTTGTTGTCATCAATGGGTTTGCTTTGTGTTCACCTGGGCATCAATGCCACATCCACACTGCCAGGATGGGTGTAAATTTGTAGGAAGGAACTGTAGTTCAAAAGGTTAACAGAAATGCAATGAGGCATCTGCCAGAAACCCCTCTGCAAAGCCAGGACCTGTTCAGAAGCCAGTACCTGAAGTCCTGTCATACTACACACGTAGCCAGTCTGCTGGGACCGTGACACCAAAGGGTCTCAACTGCCAGGCGGGTCCTGGCCTTTTCCTTCCTGCAGAGGGCTGACAGGCGAGCACGGAGGAGCAAAGAGCTGTGCTGGCACAGACAGATACTCTGTCCCCTGCTCCCAGTGATGCCTGTAGACACAGTCTCACTGCCCTGCACATTGCTGCAAGTTTAGCTCTCTCTCCTGGCCCAGAGGCTTTGTGATGAAGTTCATGATGGCTCGTTATCACAGAATCACCTGTGCTAAGTGGTGCAGGGAGCTTTGTCCTATGCCTCATGAAAATCAGGTTGTGAAGTGCAGTGGGGCTGGAAACAGTGTGGGACAGAACTCAAGTTCTCTGCCCTGCTGTGACTTTCACATACCTTGATTTCCGAGCACTTAACTATGCAGGGTCATAATTGTGTGAAGGTGCTTTTGCTTTTAATGTTTCTGTCTTTGCGTTTTCCTGCCAGGGTACAGAACAGTTGGCTTGCTCTCTTACCTGTTAGCTGTCTATTCTGCTGGCGTTGTTTTCTGATCCTGTCCTTTCTTCCTCAGTCTTTGTCCCACTGTGGCTTCCTGCTGTCCAGAACATCTGGCCATGGACAGGTAAACATCCTGGCATAGAAGAATGTCAGAAGTGGTGTAAGCAACAACAGAGAACTGTCTCAGCATCTCTTAAATGCTATGAGTACCTTCAGGTTAAATATCAGGTCTATCTACGTTGCTCTAATGCTTTTTGTCTCTATAAATATGGTTGTGTTATTGAAAAAAAACCCCAATTTTCCTTACATTTAGAAAATACAGCAGCATGTCAAGAAAGGAGATACTGAATGTGGACTACTGCCCATTTCAAAATGCACAGAAGTTAGCGAAATAACCCTAATAATTTCAATTAGGTTGGACCACCACTGGGAGGCCTAAGCAGCAGGCAAAATGAATAGTGACTGAAGTGCTAGAAGAAACTTTGCTGCTCTGAGGCCTCAGAGCTGCTCTCCTGACTCACCAGGGGAGAAAAGTCACCACCATCTCAACAACAAATCCAGCTTAAACAATGTTATACGTGTGAGATGATGAGGGCACGGGCTTCAGACCTGTGTGGTCATCCCACTGATTTACTCGTACAGCTGAAAGACTTAAGATCTGGGAGTGCAAATTGCTTTTAGCTCATATGCTTGAACACGCATATGCTGTTATCACATCTCTTTCAAACAGATGCTTGCTAGCCCTAAGATGCTACAAGACGTTCCCAGGAGCTGCTTTCCAAACGCATGAGTGTTTGGTCGCTGGAGGGCAGCACCCTCCAAGCAACCACCCTACCTGTATCATGCTGCAATGTCTGTATGGAAAAGGCCGGTGGAGTCCTTTATTTTCACTTGGAATCTGCACTGTTGTCACCGTGATTTAATGTGCCCTTAAAACTTACTAGGAGGTAGAAGCTTAGGCCTGTTATGATGATCTGTGTGTAAAAGACATAAGGGGAGCTGGACAAGCCAGGAGCTAACCGCAGCCAACTGCAGTCCCTCTGGAGTGACACTATTGCAACCCAGGATCAGCGAGATATAAAGCACTCTACATGCAGCCACAAATACAGTGGCTCTTAGCTTATCCTCCAGTGAAAGCTTGCCTTTTCACTGCTTACAATGTTATTAATGAGCAGGGCAATCCGTCATCCTAATCACTGAAGGAATGAGCTGTTCTGGACCTTTAGCATTCCTCGTTAGCTATGAGGTGGCTGCAAAACGTCTGGCCTGGAGGTTATTACTTGGGAATGGCTGTTTCTCACCAAGATTTCAGGCACACACCCATGAATAACAACTTGGGACCCATGTCCCACATTGGACACAGCCCTGCGTGGGACAGGCAGGCCTATATGGGCTTCTGTGGGTGGAATTTGTCCTACCACACCCACCCTCACTGCTAGGACTTAGTGCCCATGTAGGTGAAAGAGCTCAGTGGGGTTTCTTTGCAAGAATAACCCCAAATTAATCAAATACAGATGGCAGATTTAAGTCCTACGTAGGACCTACCTAACATTTTCTGGCGGTTGTGTGATAGTCTCACATGGTACAAAAATACAAAGGTTTCTCAGTTGGCCCTCTGACAGTGAGTGATGCAGCAGCCTGCGTGTGCTTACTCTTCCCAGGGCGCGGATACCACCAAACGTCTCTCTACTCTGGGAGGACAGTTCAAGCAATCCCTGGAAAAGCTAATGAAAATCCTTGAGCAGTGCCAGCCGTACTTCATCCGCTGCATCAAGCCAAATGACTACAAGAAACCACTGGTAACGTTATGACAAGATAAGGTCCTGTCTTTAGTAAACTTTTGGATGAGAAAAAGCTGTCGGCCGCTGTGTAGCATTTTATATCTGTGCTTCGGGCAATAAGAGGTGGAGCACAGGCTGTTACTAGGGTAAAAAGGGTGGTAGGATATGGCATTGTTAATTTATGAAAACAGCTCTGAAAGCATCACAGAGTAATAGATAGCAAAAAAGCACATGGGTGTATTCCTGAGAGGAGTTGTAAAAGCCTTTCCTGCAAAGATAAAGACAAAACTGGGGAGTTTTTAGCCCCTTAACAAGGGGACAAACAAAAACCATTAGGATCCAACAGTGATCGTACTATGAAATAGCTTATGAGAGAGCAGAAGGGCTGTTGGTGTTTGAGAGGGGAGATGTGGCTTAATTTGACACTACAGGAGAAGAGGAGTGAGTTTGTCATGAAGAAGCTTGGCTGGAACTCAAGAGACCCAGTTCCACATTAAAACCTCATGTGGTGCTGGTCAAGCGACTCAATAATTTTTGAAGTGCTGCATGTAGCTTAGTGAGCCTGGTTTTAATCTGCAATGCAAGAAACTAGCAGCACTCACAGTGTGTTTTGCATGGCTATGCCCAAAGGGCCTAAGTTGCTACTGCAGTTATTCACACCCATGAAATGGTATGAACAATTTACTGTTCATCTGAAATTGCACTTCTAGAATTGGAAATGGTTGCTAAAGCCAGACTGAAGCGAAGGGACTGTTTCCACTGCTGATAAGCACACATTTGAAGACCCTTTGGGGTGATTTGTTTCTGCCTGTAATGAATTAAGTTAGGGCACTGAAGAAATAAGACATGCCATTTGGAAAAGCATAGCAGATCATTTTGCAGGCACTCTGAGGCTGGAGATTAATAGATACGTTCTGAGAAATGCTGCATGCATAGCTTCTTTCAGTGCTAGGTCTCCTCCTCATCTGCTTTCCCTTTCAGTTGTTCGACCGGGAGCTGTGTATCAAACAGCTGCGATATTCAGGGATGATGGAGACCATTCGGATCAGGAAAGCTGGCTACCCAATCCGCTACAGCTTTGAGGATTTCTTTGACAGATACAGAGTTCTCCTGCCGTGGGCTCTTCGAGAGCAGGTGTGTTAGCACAAACTCGGTTTCAGGCTAATCTAACTTTTCCTCATGAGACTTTAGTCTTTCCCACCACAGAAAGTTCTTGGCTTATTGCTGGCACAGTTGAGAGAGCTGTCACCACAGTAACTGTGCCCAGAGGTCTGTAAGACCTCATCTGCTTCTGTTCTTTGCCCTCTGAATGCAGGGCAATAGACCCTTACATAGTGTGCTGTGTTTCCAAGCAAGCCTTAACATGACGATGCTTTTGCACATCAGCTGAAGAACGACGCTCGGCAGAGCTCTATTGCCATCTCTGAAGCAGTGCTGGGCAAGGATGACAGCTGGCAAGCTGGAAAGACCAAGATTTTCCTTAAAGTAAGTAGAAAGGACAGTTTATTGCCTCTTCTCCTGACAAACTGGGTACTTCACAGTCTATCTTGACATGCTTGTGCAAGAGTGGGGACCCAGGACTACGTTCTCTTATAGACTCTTGAATCTGAGTAATTTAATGGACACAGCTTGGTTTTGGAGAGGCTAATCCTGCTCCTGTACACCAGTGTTGCAGCTAAAACAGCACAGTGCAATGCACTGGTCTCTGCTCAAGCCTCGAGCATGAAAAGGAACTGGATAGCAGTACACTGGAGCAGGCGTCTTCCTTGTCTATAGCACTCAAAGCAGTCTTACTGCAGGCAGATGACCTGCTTGTTCATGGCTACAGCCAGACGCGGTGTGGTCAGGTGGAGTGCACCCTTCCTACTGCAGCTCCACAAATGTGTTTTAATCTCAAGCCATCGTGCTGATTTGGGGCCTCTTTCAGACCATGTGTCCAGTGTTCAGAAGTTGTGGGGGTGTCTGGCACACCCACACTTTCTTTTTACAGGATCATCATGATACAGTATTGGAGCTGCAACGCCAAAATGTACTCACAGAGAAGGTTCTTCTTATCCAGAAGGTGATGAGAGGATTGAAGGACAGGTCAGTGATCTTACAGAAGGGAATTTGCTTTGCTTTGAAGCAGTAATCTCTGTGGTGCAGTTTAACACACTCTGTTAAGCGCTTTCAAGTATGAAATACATCAGTCCATACCTCCCGCTTGCCCTAAATTCAGTGTTCATCATGTAGTAATACATAGTGCCTCTATGCAGATTTTGCACAAAGGTTTGTTCTGGCTCAGTTTCCTCATTTCCATGATGCTTTTCAAAAGGCAGGGCTGTGGCACTTGCAGCTTGTAAGAAGAGGAAGGGCTGGAAGAACCTAATATTTCTAGTAAACAGGAGGTACCTGGAAAGCAGGAAATCCTCATGCAATCTGTGTCCTTCTCAGAGCTACAAGGACTTTCTTATCTAGGATGCTTTTTTGATACATCACACAGAAGAGAATCAGATAGTCTTGCTCTTTGCCAAAGATTCTTGCATTTTTTTTTAGTTTGAAATATCTTCAGAAGTAAAATTTAGTCACTGGCAAGTAAATGTTTGTCCTCATTAAATGCTTTACATCATGATTTGCACTTATTAATCTTGTATCCCCCAACCAGAACTACAATATAGCACTGAATCCTGGTTTGGTTTCGAAATATTCCCAACAGTAGAGAAGCAAGAGCTGTAAAAAGTGACACAAGTGCCCAAAAACTTCCCCCTTTTTTCCAGGCTCTGCCTGCTATCAAACAGAGTATCACCTCTCCCTAAAAACCTCACCTCACGTGTACATTTAAACTGTCAGAGCTGTGTGCCACTTCTGACAGCCACAGCGTGACAGCTTTTACCATGGGAAGTTCATCTGGTTCAGATGGGCTCCTGGGCCTGGCAGCTGGGGCACTGGGGAGCAAGTGGTCCTCAGATGGGGGAGTTAACTTATCTGGGCTTTTTCAGTTCTTACAGAGCTCTCCTACCACAGCAATGAATTTGCTCTGCAGTTGCTATGAGTATTTTCGCAGCATTAAGGGCAAAGTCAGCTCTGATGTATCAAGGTGGATTAGTAATACTTCTCGCTCATCCTTGCTACTAGCAAACGGATAGCAAAGCAAATAGGAAAACACTTTGTGAGCTCAACTGATTAATGGTGCTGCTTCACTTGCAGAATGAGCTAAGCCTCAGTGAAATCTCCTAAAGCCTTTATTGACAGAAAAGGTCAGGCCAAACAGCCTATTCTGGCCTTCTCATCAGCACGGAGAAAACGTAAGCAGACAAAATGCTTTGAGTGAGGATAACTTTGAAGCTTGTGGTACACAAGGATCTCACCAGACTGATCTTACTGCTGCAACAGAATATTTTTCTTAGGCTACTCAGAAGCAGGATGAACAGCCCTCACCGAGCTTCAGACGTGGCCTGGCAAGATGTCTACTGATTATTAATTTAACGATAGCTTTCCTGGCTCTGGTGTTCCTAGACAGCAGATAAGGCTGAGATCAGACTGCAGACATCCCACACCAGGAAAAAAACCACCACCTTATGTTTTACGATGATCATAAAGAGCAGCCAAAATAACCTATTGCTTGTCTTCTCGCCTGTCTGTCTGCTTAGGAAGCAGTTTCTGAAACAGAGGAAGTCTGCTGTAGCCATTCAGTCAGCCTGGCGCGGCTACTGCTGCCGGAAGGATTTCAGAATGGTAAGAGGGAGGGGTATATATCAAGATATAGAATTCTATACATGTATATACACCCTTGTGACTGTGTGTGTGTGTGTGTGTGTATTTACATACTATGCCCTGCCAGACTGAGTGGAGTATTAGGAATGAAGATATTCACAACTGAAGGGAGAAGAGGCAAGATAGCAGGGTGTAAAGAAGAGTGTAAAGTCCAACGAGGGCTCTGATAGCTTTTAGGGTTTGCTGAACCTCTGACGTTTCTGCTTTCTGGTGAAATAGTAACCCAACTGACCTCTGGCAGGCCTGGCTCCAGCAACTTGATACATGAGTGATCCCACACTTCTTCTAGTCAGGAGTCCAAGGGTAGCACTTGTGCATCACCACCATGCTATGAGCAAAGCGTCTTCCACAGCAAAACTGGGAATCTGTATAAAATTATCAGAAAAATAATTATATCAATCTCACATTAACAAAAAAATTGGCTGATCTTCTATAGATGGTGGGTTTTCTGAGTGAAGAAAGCTACACCATACTAGGGGCACTCACACGTGTATTTGTGTGGCAGGGGTTATTATTAATATACTCCACACGTCCTGTTCACCATGGGCAGGAAGAGAAACTGCCTGTTTCAGCCAGAAACATTTTATATCCTATGTCAGTGATGCAATCCCTGTCTGAAGAGCCACGCCGTTGTCCTATGCTCTGCCTCATCCTTCTCTGCTGCTTCTCTTGGGATTGTCATACCCATCTCTCCAAAGATGTGCCTTTTTCTTTTTTTCTTTTCCCATTCACTTGGCTTTATTTCTGCTCTTTTCTTTCCCTTGTCATAATTCCTTCCATTGTCGCTCACTTCCTGGAGCCACTTTCTAAACAGGTCCCCAAAAGAACTCCATATAGTCTAGTTTTAAAAGCCTACTACAGGCAGAAAATAAAGCAAAAATGGCAGTATTGCATTAGTCTCTTCCGGTGTCTTTATCCAGTTACTGAATTTTCTTATCCTCTACTCATCCACACTTCCTCCCTGTCTCAGTGGTTCTGAACCATAATAATTTGTTTTTCCTCCACTTCCAACAGGTTATGCTGGGTTTTGGACGCCTGCAGGCCCTCTACCGGAGCCGACAGCTCGCTAAACAGTATGAAACAACCCGGGCTCATATCATCAGGCTTCAAGCCATGTGCCGTGGGTATCTAATGCGTCAGAAAATAGCAGAGCAGAAGAAAGCTGCATGTGTTATACAGGCATATGCAAGAGGCATGTTTGCTCGCCAGATGTACCAGAGGATGAAGAGGGAGGTATGCTCACAGATACCTCGTGAACATGTCGTTTCTGTGAAGTTCTGATAGAGATTTAATGACCAGCAAGTGTTGCCATAGGATAGCACTGGATGTGGATATTTACTTCAGGATATTTTATTTGGAGCCTGTGACCTGTTCCCTAAAATGCCAAATCTAGAACTAACTCCACACTGGCATAAAGTCCTGGTGTGGCCAGCTTGTTAATGGCAAAGGGAGCTGGCTCAGCAGCTGTGGGAACACTCACAGAGCAGTCCTGTTGTCCACAGAACAAGTGCAAGCTGGAGGCCAGGAATATCCGCTTGGAAGAAGAGCAGCGTCTCATCCAAGTCCTCGGACCAGTGAAAGCAAGGGAAGAAGCGATGAGATTAGAGAAGGTAAGTGTGTTGGCAGAGGAACACTGCTATGGTCCTTGGCTGACAAGGTGGCTTGCCCCGCTCACACCTGTGGACTTGCTCAGAAATCTGAGCAGTGCTATATTTTAATAAAAAGTAGACATGGTTGTAAACCTATTTGTAACAACGCTTCAGAAATGGGATGAGGCAAACACAGGCACATTTCTGTGTGCTGTATAAGCTGGCACTTTAGCCAAACATAGGCAATGCTATTACACAGCCCCCTGACGCAAAACATTTTTCAGTTTTAAGTAACGTGGGATTTTCTGCTGTGACAAGTTCTGTATTTTCCCTGTATTATCTCTTGTTGAGAAAGCTATTGAAGAATTGCACACCATTACCAATAAGCCAGCAGTCTCTAAGGACAGCCGTAAGAGCAAGGCCCTGCTGCTGATGTGCTAGGTCTCTGTGACTGCTTAGCACAAGCAACATTTGGCTTCACCTTTGGTCACTAGCAGAGCTGGACCTCGCTGTTGTAACACCTCTGTAGTGGTGTTTCATCCTCGCACCCATGCATTCATTCTAGCAAGTGATGTTCCAGTCGTGCTTAACCAGCTTCTGTGTTTAAAGGAACACCTGGCTACTCTGGAGAGAGAGGAGGCAGAAGAAAGACAAAGGAGGAATGCTCTTGCCAATAAACCGACAAATCAGGATATTATCAGCGACCAGGAAATGGTGGACAAAATTTTTGGGTTTTTACCTTCTATGATCGGAGGCCAAGAAGGACAGGCTCCTCTGGGCTTTGAGGTACAGAGCTGCAGACTGGTAACGGGTCACGTTCATCCCTCGTTAAGTCCACTGACTTTGTTGGGCCACATCAGTGGTCAATTCTGTGTGATGATCTCCTGTACAGCAAAGGAATCACCCCAATTAGTCATCCAGACAGTCCCTTTGGGGTCTGCTTTCAGAGGTCAGTTCCCAAAAGTTTTTGGTCACGTGCAGTTTGGGGACTATGTGTCTTCAAAAGCTACTGCACATTTGTTTCTCTAGCTCAGAAGACCCTCACCAAATAGTACCATTCCCTGCATTTTGGCACCAACCACACGTTCTGCTGACGGTGCTCTCAGCGATTTCCCAGCTGCAACAAGCTGGAAGTTCATCACCCAAGTTACCCCATGTTCTTAAAAGCAAAATTTGAGATATACTCGTCCTGACAGCTGTGGAGGGTGGAACTGGGTAGGGAGAGGCGGGCAGAATGGTCTGGGTTTGTGCAGGATGTGAGCAATGAGATGGCACCCGGATTTTCCATCAGCAATGTTCTTGCTGAAGACCAAGACAGGAAGGTCATCTGGTACTGATGCATCTTAGGACAGGCTCTGGTAGCAGCTGAGTATGGCTTTGGGGTTAGATAGAAAGCCACATTCTGGAGGATTATAGCCAAGGGAAAAAAAAAAAAGAACATAAATAAGAATATCAGAGTGCAGGGAACAAAATTACGCTTCTTCCTCATGTTCTGCACAGGACTTGGAAACAAAGCCTAACAAGCTGGACGAGGTGGACCTGGACATGGTTCCCATGAGCGTGGAGCTAGAAGAGGAAGCAGATGGCTTGGAAGACTACACCTTCCCTAAGTTTGCAGCTACTTATTTCCAGGGGTCATCTACACATACACATATCCGGAGACAGCTGCGACACCCACTACTCTACCACGATGACAAGGACAACGTCCTGGTATCTTGTTTTTGTTGTTGAACCTGCTCCCTCCATAGCTCTGGCTTCTACAGCTCCCCTCCTCCTTGGGTCCCCTCGCCTCTGGCACAGCCCTGGGAACCACAGCCAAGCAGACAGACCTAAGCACTTACATGAAAGTAGTGGTTCCCATCAGCATTTTTTGGTGCTTTGCAGGCAGGCACCTCACGCAGATAGCTGCCATGCACAGGATCTCTGGTCACCTTTAGTCTTCCTAAAGGGGGAACTCTGAGGCTTGTTTTGACTTCTCCAGATACCCTTTGGGGATAAAAACCAGCCTGGGGAGAAGTAGCAGCAGAGCTCTCCCATCTCTCTGCACTCGTTAGGGTTGCTGCTCTGTGACTTAGGACAGAAGGGAAAGGCCTAGATCTCCAATTTTCCTGTTGATTGAGAAGGTGAGCTCTTCTCGATGCTAAGAAGACTTGGAGGATCCCATGCTGCAAAAACTTTGCTATTACTTGGCTTTCTAGTTCTGGGCATGGGAGCTCTTGGAAGGGCTCACTCCACTGCTTGTCTGTCCAGGTGGGTAAATGCAGAGCGTAGTTCAGCCGAGGTTTCTCTGCCTCACTCCAGCCACAGCACGTCTGCACGGTGCCGATGAAGGGAATGGTGAGAGCTCAGCAATCGCAGAGCAAATCTGACATTCCCACTGGAGCTGCACCCGCTTCCTTTAGCACGAGAGCATCGTGAATGTTGATCTCATGTTGCTTGACATGAAAGTAAACTTCTGATGTAAACAGTGGGAGGAGATGGAAATTTTGACAGCTTGGATTGGGTGAAGGAAGAAAATGCTCTCATCTAGATAGGAAGAAACGGCAGGAGGCCGTTGGTTCTCTTGGCAGCTCTTGACTGTTCTTTCTGCCACTACAGGCTTCTCTGGTCGTGTGGGTCATCATCCTGCGGTTCATGGGGGACCTGCCAGAGCCAGTTATGTTTGCCAAGAATGCCACCATCAAGAGTGGCTCTGTGATGACACAGATATACGACACACTTGGCAGGAAAAACCAGATCCAGTTCAGGAACGACAGCCCAAATATGGTGAGAGAGGCAGAATATGTTTGTATTTTCTTTTGCTTTCCTTGGTTTCTGTGCTATTCTACCAAGAATGAGAAAAGCAAAGGAAACATCTCCATGTGAGCGTCTTTCCTTCCTTCATGAATCATTCTTGCTGTGCACTAAACTGATTTCCTGAAATGGCAATGTGTGTTGTAGAGAGAAAGCAGAAAGGATAACAAGATTTCCAAGGGAATCTCTTCCCTGAAGCTGAAACGGTCATCCAAGCTGACAGGGAAGGTAAGAGGTGGAAATACATTGCTTCCACTAAGTCTTTTTGCCTGTAACCCTGTCTTCACCTCCTGACAGCAACCCCCCTGCTGGGAACCTGTTCCACTGCCAAGCCAGTGCAGCCCTGTGTATGGAATACCTGGTGTATGGGGTGCCTGGTGTAGGGGATGCCTGGTACACTGTTCTTCTTTGAAAACTATCTGCATATACGCCGTTGTTGTTTGTTCCCTGGCAGATCCACTTCACCCCTTCCTGTTGAAGAGTGGCCTCTGAGCACAGGGAACAATTTATTATTGAGAACTTGTGGTATTACAGACCAGTTTGCCCAAAGTCCTGAGCAGACTGGGAACCACCATGTGCTCAGGGCTGTAAGGGACAGTACAAGAACGTTCTCCTAGCCAGTAACAGCGCTGTTACACTGCACTTTGTGAGTTAGTTTGAGCGAGGGGGAAATACGGTCTGTTCCTAACTGTTCCTTCACTAAGCAGAAAGAGTTTTAACCAGAAGGCTAGAGAAGGAATGTCTCATTTCTGGGAGAGCTGCCTGGTAAGGGAGAAGGTTTCTCGCACACTCTGCTCGGTTTCTTCCAGGTGACAGACCAGCTGAGAGGTGGAGAAGAGGCTTTCCAGGAGGACAGCTCCATCTCCGAGAGACCTATGTCCAACCTAGAAAAAGTGCACTTCATTATTGGCAATGCAATTCTGCGCCCTGCCATCAGGTAGGAGATTTGTACACCTCCTTCATAGGACCTGGCACTCATTACATCAAGGAAATCCAGCATCCCCTTTGCACAGTGCTGGGGCATTTCCAAAAGGCTGGAAATGTCTCACGTTTCTCTCTGGGGATTCCTGACCGAAAGCCCAAGCTAATCCCACGGAGCTCAGACTGTAGGCCACAGCTCTTTGGAGGATGGGTCGCCTTCATCAGTGGGGACAGAGAATGACTCACTGCCTTTTCTCGTATCTTCATCTCATAGTTTAGGTCAGCTGCCTCCACGGTTGGCTTTCTGAATACCCCAGAGATACGCAATGGGGCGGAGCGTGTCCTATCTGGGAACAATTCCCTCATCCACCTTGTGTCCTCCCACTCAGACTTGCCAAACGTGTGTTCCAAGAGTCCAGAAAATGTAACATGATTTTCACATGGCAGTTCTGTTTGTATGCAGATTTTCCCATCCATTTCCCACATGTCCTTGCTGCAGTCAACCTGCATTTTCAGCAGCTCACTCTGAAGCACCCTTTCTTCTGTTCCTGTCCAAGGACTCACTCCAAGTTCAGTAAAAATATACAATTAAGCAGAATGTCCCTCTATCCTTATCCCAAAATCCACATATGAGCAGACAAGAGAGATGAGATACAAGCCACAGAGGGCTTAGAGCAAGTCCCACATGCAGAGGGTTGGCAGTGCCATTTCACAGCTGAATGACCCGGCAATCGTTATCCCTGCACAGTCCCCCTGCTTGTCACAGGAGCTAATCCAGCATGGGAACTGCACTTGAACTGCTCGAGTGACAAGGGGCGACAAGGGGCACTTACGTACGTACACCTTGAGCCTCTTCCTGCCAAAGCCAATGACACAGCTATTTCCCAGGATACATTACAGGTGGTAACCTAGCTCACACGGTTAAACCTCGCTCAGATCCCCTCAGATCTGCAATCGTGCCAAGCTTGCAGTGGAAACGTAGCCAAAGCCAGCTCAGACAGTGAATCATTATCTGCTGCTTTCACATGTTTTATTACAGAGATGAGATTTATTGCCAGATCTGCAAACAACTCACTGAAAACAGCAACAGGAGCAGCTATGCTCGAGGCTGGATCCTTCTGTCACTTTGCCTTGGTTGCTTTCCTCCTTCAGACACATTTGTGAAGGTACTACCAACCTTTCCTACAGCAGCTTAAGTGCCTTAGCTGATCTGCTTTCTTGTGAATTTTGTGTCTGGATACAAATAGCCACATCAACCATTTAGCTGCCATAGCCACGGTGATGTGATTTTAGCAGAAACTATCTTGTCTCATGCTTATCTGGGAATTTAAATAAACGATTGCTGTATTCATATTTAATTCTTTTTCATTATTCACTATACAGGTCAGGTTCTGTTGCTGATCACAGCACTCTGTGATCTGCAGAGAATCTGGCCAGTTTTATCATCTCCAGGTCTTCCTTTCCAACAGTTAAAAGCTGTCTCAGTTATAATCCTAGTGATTAAATATTCTTGGGAATCCAGTATAAAAATCACTCCTCATATTTTACCAGTTCTTACCCTACAAAATCTGATATTTAGGTTTTTGTCCTCATTTTCTTCAATCCGTTCATTTCCAAATGTAAATGGATGATAAATCCAGTTCATCACAGAAAAACAGTCAAAGCAAGCCAACACAACCCATGGCTCAAACTTGGCATCAGCCTTCCTCAGAGTTCTCAGAGGCAAACCGAATCCATAGATATCCCTGGATCTTCAGCTTTGCTTTACTGACACCCTAGCCCAAACAATTAATCTAATGATAAATTTTGCCAAGTGGCCACTACTTGAAGCAAACAAGACACAAACAAACAAGACATTTTCATAAATCCATACCTGATCTCTAGGAATATTCTTCATTATTAATAACCAGGTGACTGACCCATGCTTGCCCTAAATACAAGTATGTAAATACAAGTCCACGCTTATACCATGTCCTGCAAAAGCTTGGTTTGTCCAATCATCCTCTTCCAATGTCCAATCTTAACCATGGACTTAAACTCTTGATATTACCTGAGAACTTAGTAAAACTAAAAGTACCCATAACATGCTCTAACAGGCAACTAGTCCTCCGCCCAGAGCTTCAGTTCATACAGTGTCACAAGACTCCAGGCTCTTCAATTGGAAACACCAACCCTTGATCTAACCCCATCAAGAGTGAAGTCTCCACTGTCTAATATTCACCATACAGTTAAACAGCAAATAGACTGACACAAGCCTTCCCCTTTAGTCTAAAAGCTTTGCAGAATGAGGGAAAACTTGGTGTCTCAAACCTCCTTTTCCAAAACACTAATCCCAACCCGAACCTTTAACACTTTCTGGTGAACCATAAGCTAACTGATCATTCTAATCTGGTCTAATAACTACAGCAGGTTTCTAGTGTTTGATGAGGTTTGGTGTTTCCTAACTCTTTCTTATGCTCTGTGTATATAGTACCTGTTGAATTTCATCCACCATGGGCCCACGGGCTATGCACCGTACTGTGCTGAACGGCTCAGACGTACCTATGTCAACGGAGCACGGACTGAACCTCCGAGCTGGCTGGAACTTCAGGTAGCGACTCCCTCTTTGATAATTTATATTGATCTGTGCTATTTTATGTGGATTGTATTTGCTAACCTGTGCTGACAGATCTTCCCTAAGGAGGGAACTTGATTTCAGTGCTGCTCCAGGGCTGTAACTTACATTTAAGACTCACCATGCACTGAAGAAACTGTGTGGGCGTTGGAGATTCACTTCAAGATTGTTGGCTAGGGTGTACAGTGTGTGAAGTTCTTAAATTTAAACGCCTTCTTCATTCTTCACAGAAAAATAACTTTTCCCCATAACTTCTTTTTCTCATTTGACTCTGACCTACAGGCAACAAAGCAGAAGAAACCCATTATGTTTAATGTCACCCTGATGAATGGCCAAAGCATCACTGTCCCTGCAGACTCTGCTTCCATTGCCAAAGAGATCTGCCAGTTCATAGCAGATAAAACCAAACTGAAGGATGTGTTTGGTTTTTCACTCTACATTGCTGTGTTTGACAAGGTAAAGTGTAGAAAAATAGAATTAAAGCTCCCTTCTCTTTCTGTGGAGTTGCCGCTGTCCACGCAGCCTCACTGAAGACTCCCTCTGACTTCTGGAAGCATCCCCACCCAGTCCTATGCTCAGATCAAATCTGTTCTGAATCCCAGATGAATCTCAAGACCTGATCATCCTGTTCTGCCTCTCTGCTGGCAAACCACTAGGCAATTCCTGCGGCAGGCCTGCGAGGTTTCCTGTGCCAGGTCACACAACTGCCTGGTGTCCCTGCTCCCCTGCACAGGCAGTAGGAGCACTGTGGTCTCCTGCTGTGTTTTGGGATCCCACTTGCCCGTCACGCATGCAGCGTGCAGAACTGCTGGGACAGGGTGAAACTGGGTCTGACGTGCCCAAAGGCAGATTTCCCACCTGCTCTGCTGCACATAACTTGTCCTGCTGCTGATGCAGCCCCTATTGTGTGGCATTGAAAGCCAAGGTCCCTGCCAGGCTGCTGCTGTTAGCTCCCATGCTGTTATTTTAGCCTCTCCTTCCCTTTGCTTTTTGTTACAGTAATGCCATAAAACAGCCATCCCAGCAGGATGACATCTTGATGCTCATAGTTAGGCACCAATAGCAAAGAAATTAATTCAGAGATGGATTTTTTGTTAAGATTACAGCAACCTGCATGCGCTCTTAAGGGGATATACAAGAGGAAAAGAAAGTACAAGGTGACAAATAGAAGATTGCAAACTGCTTTGTCTTACCTTCCAGTTTATTTTTCCCAATACCATCCCTGTGCATAAAAATACACGCATTTACCACAGTATAACTTGCACATCCATCTGCTTACCTTTCCAGAGTTTTTCTTGCTGTCAGGAGACCAGGAGTTTTGGCTTTCTGGTCCTTCCCTCGGATCCGAAGCAGACATGCCAGTAAATTCAGTGTCCCTTTGTTTCAGGTCTGGTCACTGGGTGGGGGACGAGATCATGTCCTGGATGCCATCTCTCAGTGTGAGCAGCTAGTGAAGGAGCGGGGCACACACGAGCGCAACGCGCCCTGGAGACTTTACTTCCGGAAGGAAATATTTACACCCTGGCACAACTCCCAGGAGGATCCCATCAGCACTGATCTCATATACCACCAAGTCATTCGCGGCATCCGGTTTGGAGAGTACCGCTGTGAGAAGGTGGGTCTCCTTCATCATCCTCCTGAAGGAGGAAACCGCATTAACATTTCCCACATTAAAAAGCAGGAAGATGAAGGATGTTTCTAGTGGCTGTGAGCAACCCTTCCCTTCTTAATGGACAGTTCTTGTCCAGGGGATTGTGCCAGCTGTAATTAATACTTTCTTGTTTCCTGCAACTTTCAGTTCATGTGGCAGCTGGAGCCATATCCAACATGTCCAGAGGGGCAATTTAGGTCCTTTTAAAGTATCTTTGCTAGTAATCTCTTTGCAGCTATGATTGTGTGAAGTTCACCCCTCCATATGCTGGATGACTGTGAAGAGTTATCTAGACAAAAATGGAGAAAATCCCATTCCTAAACTGGCTTCAATGTTGAACAAAGCTATCTGGACTTTGTGACATCTTCCCTTTTCATGGAATAATTGTTTCAGGAGGAGGATTTGGTGGAGATAGGTGCAAAATATTGTTACATCCAGTTTGGAGATTCCATCCACAATGAACTTGTGCAGAAGGTGCTCCACGACTGTATCCCAGTGAAACAGTTGAAGTCCAAGCCTCTGGAAAAGTGGGTGAGCCTCATAACCTACGCACATGCTAAGGTAAGAGGTTTGTCTGGATAACCACTCGCTTCTGCTTCTTCTACCATTTCCTTCTATGAAATGTTTTTTCTTCCCTGTTGAGGGAAGAAGGAAAAACATCTCAGTTTGTATATCCCAAATAGTTAAATAAGACTAGGAGAGCAAAAAGCCTCTCCACTCACTCTTCTTCCTAACAGGGGGCAGAATGAAAAAGCACATTTCAATCTCTGAACAGGGTATCATCTTTTAAGGCTGTCTGTCTTACATCTGACAATTGAGTCAGGATGGGCATAGAATGGAATGATGAATTATTTCCACGGCACCCAAAGCATCTTAGCCTCTGGACAGCTCCATGGGTGGGGATTTGAGGGAAATTTGGGATCCACATGCCTGCATGTAGCTTGGGCCCCTGGAGGCTGTTTCTGATTTGGCTTTCTCCAGGTACCCTTCACACCAGTGACAGCAGAGGGTTGTTGGGAACCTCTGGGATCAGGTCTGCTCTTTATTGTTGGCAGATCATGCAAACCAGATTGCACTGAGAAAACCTTGGGTATCTTTTTCTATTGCAGGCCCCATACACACAGGACCGTCTCTCCCGTCAGGCTGTGAAGGAACAACTTGTAGATTTTGCTCGCTTTCAGTGGCCTTTGCTTTTTTCCCGATTTTTTGAAGTCACTAAGTTTTCAGGTAATGTCTAGAAGTGGCAGACAGATATAAGATCAATAGAGGAGGACTTGTATAGCATTGATAAGGGGTTTTTTTCCTGCATTTTTAGGTCCCAGCTTACCCAAGAACCGCTTTATCGTCGCCGTAAATTGGAAAGGTATTTGCTTCTTGGATGAGTCAGAAAAGAGGCTCCTTGAGCTGACCTTCCCAGAGATAACTGGCATCCACACCAACAGGTGAGTGCCCCAGAGAGACAAGATCTGAAGAAGGCATCTCTGCCCATATTCAGAAAGGGTCTTCCATGTAGGAGGGAGGTGTGCATTCTCTGTTGTCCTCCTGGGTGATTTGATCAGATTTATTAATAATTTTATAATAATTTTAATTAGTTGCCCAATTCCTCCAAAAGAAGGCTGTTCTTTTGTCTATAATGAGGCATGTTCATACAAAACATGGTGGAGTCCAGAGCGAATCTGAACCACTTCAGTCCTTCACACATACCAATTCACGAGAGGGCAAATCTAGAACGTCCAGTACTCACCGTAAGGAGTGGTCTGCAAGGGGCTGTGGGTGCCTTGGCTGTGACTGCAGGTGGGTCTGTAAGTTTTTCAGACACTCTGGTAACTACTGAATAACACCCAGGGCAGTGAAGTCGTTCGGACAGAGTTGCACTCTCATCACACTTCGTGCCGAGGAGTTTGTCCTGACGTCTGTGAACAGCGTTGTCATCGCTGAGCTGGTGGTCATGTTCCTGGAAGGGCTGAAGAAGAGATCACCATTTGCTGTGGCAATGCATGAGAAAAAATCCCAAGGTAAGTCCTATAACTTTACTACAGGGTAGTGAAGAAATCTTGAAAGAACCTACAGCCCTTGTTTGAAAGACATTAAAGTGGGGGAACTTCAGCAAAAGTCCCTTTGCTCCAGGGGGAATGCAGAGTGATCAGCACAGCCATACAGAGCATAAGGCAATGTGATTCAATGCCTTGGCATACACATTACCTTCCCTTCTCCCTTCTACTTCTTTGCGTATTTTATTTAGATATTACAGTGTCCAACAACTCAGCCTTATAGTAGAGAGTTGGATGTGGCCTTCCTGGAAATACTTTCACAGAGGTGGTAAACTGGAAGATTCTGTGGAATATAGCTGGCTGGAACAGACATGAGGGGATTAGGATGTAAACATTAACTTCACCTACTTACAACTAGGGAGTTTCTTTCCTGGCTTTGCTGCCAGTTCCAGACACAAATTCAGCATCCATTGGAATCAAAGGGAGCTCTGTCATTGCTCTCAGTAGATCAAAGGCTGTCAAATGACATTTAAGTGATTTCTCTGAAGTGTTACTGGATGATTAGCTGTATTTACACTAATCACTTTCTACCACTAATTGAATTCAAGACTTGAAAATACAATTCCCCTGCCTCTCACATTGCAATCCCTTTGCGTTTTCTTGGGCTGTCAAGACTGAACAGTACTCCCTTATTCTCTTTTCCAGAAGACCCTGCCATCCTGTCCTTCAAGAAGGGAGACTTGCTGATCTTCACCGAAGACAAAAGGCTGGATGCAAACTCTGGCTGGATATGTGCCCAGAATGAAAGGACAGGCAGAACAGGGAATGTGTTTCTGGAAGAGATCTACATCATTCCTTCTCTCACAAAACCCTCTAGTCAAGTGCTGGTAAGAAAAGCTGAGCACTCTCTTTGAAGAGACTGGAAGATAAACGATAAGAACAGAATTAAATATGATTGAATTTATGACTGGAAGTTAATTGTTCCTCCAAGTCAGACAAGTTCTTTATCTCCCATTGAAGCAATGCATTTCATTCTGTCCTGTCTTAGAACAAAACTAAACCTAGCCTAAACTCTAAGAAGACTGCAGATGCACAAAAGCAATGACTTTAAAAATAACAGTTCATCCACCATGAGGGATTTCTTTGTCTGGAATTGGCAGCAATGAATGGAAACGGGTGTGCAGTTGAATTTTCCTGTTCTCACACTGGGCTTGACTGGTGATCACACATTAGATCTCAAGGGAAGCTCTAACTGCAGCAGGTTGCTTTAAAAGAACATAGGTCTTTGAGGGAGCCAACACAAAGTTTCCCATTGATCCCTCTGCTAACAATTCTGTCTTCAGTTCTGGAGACCCAGTATATTGGATGCTGTGCTAACAAGTAAAAAGCTGAAAAAGTTGTGGAAAAGCACACCAATGGTTAGCAGGTCCACTTTTAACAAGTGTTATGCTTTGGATAATCACACACATTTTGATGGCTGCTACTGTTGCATCTATGGAAGTTACTTCTTTAAGTCTCCTACTCCCAATTCTTTCTTGAGTCTCTGAAAGATGCTTCTCAGGGGACAGAAGGTCTCCTGCAGCACAGAGCACTCCAGCTCAGTACACACCATCTGCATGTATGTGCTAACACCTGACAGCGTGTGCAGACCAGTGTCCATGGGACACCTCTACATGGCTTTGTCATTCCAGAGTTTGCTGATGATGTCTCCAGACCAGAGGAGAACTTCCCAGAACTCCTACATGGACGAACCTGATGAAGAGGATCTCAAAGTGAAGCCTTACACCCTGGAAGAGTTTTCCTATGAACATTTCAGGTGAAGCTCCCTGTGTAGTGTGCAGCCTAGGAAAGTTCTTGCTGATCTTCAGTGATCCTTAAAGCCCAGGATGTAATGGCATCTCCCATTTCTGGTGTGGTTCCTTCTCTTTGCTCCCTGTAATTAAGTGTGAATGTGGATGTCCAGAGATTTTGGCATGTGGCATACTTGTATCTTTTGTCTGCAGAAATGCAAAGGGTAGGGTAGAAGAACCCCAGTCAGACTTACTGCTTTCCAGCAGGCCTTATTCTTACTTTTCTCACCTTCCTCAGCACTTACCAGCTAGTGAGGATGCACAACATCTCAGGTCTCAGATGGGAGCAAGGGAAAAATTAGTCTTCTAAAATCTCTGTTCTTTTTGCAAGTCTTCTCCCTTCTGGATGTGTGAGAAACTACACTTTCCTGTTCTTGACCTGCATAATCAAAGGAGATATGCGATCACTGTCTTGGGAAAGAACGTGCTTAGAGATAAGTCTTTGTGCTAACGACCTCCTACACTCACAGTAATCCTGATCCAGTGATTTTGTATTACCTGCATTTGTCTTTGTCCAGAACCCCTGAGAAGGAATCCATCAGCAAAGCCGTCCTCCAGAAATCCCGCGGGCGCAGTCAGCTGTGGGCACACTCGAAGGAGCCCTTGAAACAGCCCTTGCTGAAGACAGCGTGCACAGACCCTGATCTTCGGGACTTGGCTTGTCAGGCCTTCACTGATATCCTTTCCCTCTTGTCTTTGGGACCTGAGAACACTCAGGGGAAGGAAGAGCTAACTACCTCCACTAAACTCACCTCCGTTCAGATACCACATCCACGTTACAGGGGATACATTTACATCAAGGTGGGGATGACTTAGCATTGTTTCCCTTGTCTACAGAGGCAAGTTTCCTGCTCTCTCCCAGTGCCCCACAACTCCCAGTGGCTCACTTAACTGAGAACATGGTTTAGGAGTGAGTGAGGTTTACTGCATATGCCCAAAGCAAGCAGCTAATACAGTACAAATCACAGCAAAGCAGCGACTGCTGTGCAGAGAAAGGGGTAGGGGCCAGGCAGGGGATATGTTGCAGACCCTCCTCCCAGTACGTGCCACTTAGACATCACCAGAGTCACTAACAGCAAATCACAGAAACATGGTAGGATCCAGGTGAGGCTTCACATTTACCTTCCAAAATGGGCCTGCTTCTGTCCTTAACGGTACATTCACCCATCATGAAATTCATGGGGGACTACCCCTCGAAACACGCACACTCATCGGTGGAAGTCACTGACCAGATATTTGTAGCTGCTATCCAGGAGGAGGTCCTGCGGGATGAGATTTACTGTCAGATTATGAAGCAGCTGACTGAGAACAGAAACAGGTACTTGGCTGTGTGTGAACATCCTGCTCCTGCAGAGCCAGGGCTCAG